AAAAACGATAATGTTTTGCAGGTATGCTTAGAAATACATCTACCTGAAGATGATAGTAAAAATTTTATAGGTTATAATTCCAAATGTTTTCGAAAAATTTATAAAAATTATTCAATAATACAAATTAAAAAAATAAATCATAAAAATGGGCGAATTTTATTTGGAATTAATTTAAATTTCGAAATGTGAAGGAAGGAACCAAATAAGATTAATGATAAAAGATATTATTTAATATATACCAGATTCAATTAATATGAAGGAGCTAAAATTTTGAGAACTGATTTTTTAAAAATGACTCGTGCGATTTTTACAAAACGTGGCACTTTGGCATAATTTGAGTTGTAGAATCGAAATATGGATAAAAATGGCATATCATTTTAGAAAATATCCGATTTTATGTCAGTTATAAAAATGCTATATATATATATCTAATAGATATACTGATTCGCGCTTTCGAGACATGAAAAACACAAGTTGAATTTCTTCAATCCGCCCAGTAGAACAGAATATATAGCAGTAGACTGGGAGAGTAGAACAGAACTGCCCTCTTTTTTTTTTTTTTTTTCGCAGTGTACCTTACGATAAATAGCAAATTAGCTGCATAAGATTTAGTTCAATTAAAGCTTTTTTATTTGATATTTTTCCTGTACTTCTACCTTTCTGTCAATTCCACTAGAAACATAAATTATGTGAATTGAAATAATGAGCGAGAATGTAAGTTTGAAAGAGAGTATTCTCACATTAAGCTATTGGAGCTTATCTCATATTTCACCTGCTGTAGTAGCAGCTGTGCTGGCTTTTGATAAATGTTGACTTTTTGCTAGTGTTTACGTTAATAATTGTTTTTGGTTTCTAACCCGGTTGATTCTCTTTAATCTAGTATAGGATTTGTGAATATTTAAAATAATATGTTATTTTTAGGCCACAAGAAGCTGCTGTTGATTTCCGTTAATATTTTAGTTAATAAACCACTGGTCTAAAATGCAAACAATTTTTCAGATGTTTTAACGATTGGAATATTCAGTTTGTGTTACTAAATTCAAAAGTTAAAATAATGAAACAGTTCGTGTGCAGTTTAGGAAGTTTAAACGTATTGCGCAATTGCTTAAGTGCTGTTGGGCTTAACCTTATTAGAGCTTCTTTTATTAAATATTATTAAATATTCCTTTTTCTTGCCAGACAGGATATTTCCTTGTTAAAGAACCCATTACTTATGGCGGCATTTGAAATTTCCAGCTATGCACTCAATGATTAAGTTTGCTAAATTTCATAAATAATAGAGGTGGCTGTTCTAAGCCTCGTCTCCTGGTTAACTGATTTACCAATGGGAAGAGAAATCATTCAAAAGAGGAAAAGTTTAGTAGTGAATCAGATGTTCAAAAACAAGAGAAGGTCAATGGTAAGCCAAGTGTGCAACGGATGGCAAGAAAAAAATGTTTAATTATCTCGCATAAGCTTGAAATACTTGTAATAACAAGCTGATGAAGTTAGTTTTAATACCAGACTGTACGAAAAAGCATATAACTGTGAAAGATAAATGTAGTGCAAGTCACCCTAAAAGTAAGACATTTTTCAAATATATTGCTAGATTTCGGATACTCAAAGAGCAATTTCAATCTAATATGCATCATATGACAATGCGTGGATATTTATATAAGTCAGCCTAGTGAAAACAATTCATAAAAGTGATCTCACAGTATAACCAGGAAGGAAAACGTGTCTCATATTGGGGAATAATTCTCTAAACATGACACCCTAATCTGTAAAATGAGATATTATGATTATATGCTTTTCCATACTACAAAAAATACGGTATTATGAGAAAAGCGATTTGATCACGAGAAACCTAAAAATGTAATTCACTTACATGATAATTTATTGACAGCTGTAGGTAATACTGATATCTTCTGATTGTCCGCCTCCTATACGAATTCGCTAAATCTTTGGCAATTTTATGAGATAGAGAAAAGCACTTGTATGTCTACGTTGGTCCTGTGAACCAATCTTACGTTTTAAACTCATATTTTCTGTGCTTTTAAATATACACTGGGTACACAGCAATGAAAGAGCAGACAAAATTGTCAAACTCATTGTCAGTAATGAATGTAAGCTGATACTGAATACGGTCGAAGTACCACATAAAAGCGACCACGAAGGCCGTTTTTAATGGAACAGCCGCGAAGTTTCCTAAGACAACGACGACACTAGCAGGAGAGTTATTATCCCCCAAAGATAGGAGATAAGTTATACACTAGTATTTCTGAACTGGGACAATTTCTGAGAGGACATGGCACATGCATGAGTTTTTTATTTTATTTTGGCATCTGGGACAATGCGCAGTGCATATGAGGAAGGGTTGGAGATCTTGCCCATTACACTTTTCACTGACCAGAAGTAAATGCTTATCATCTCCACATTCCATCAGCTGAAAGTGAACATGTGTCGGGATATAATATCTGTTGCACTACGCGTCAGACGTATCCAGAACGGCACTTAAATATAATCTCTAGTCGATTAAATAAATAAACAGGATCCTGCCATATTGAAGGCCAGCAGGAATCCAGAACCGACAACGTAAGTGAACCAAACGCCATGTTGTTGGAAAAAAAGAAAACAAAGAAAAGTTATAAAGTTGAAATATATGTATATAAAGTACATACTTCTCAAGACAATGATTTATATCAGCACATAAATATCTTTTCAGGTTCTGTTTGAACTCGTATCTGTGTTGTAAAATCTGAATAACAGTACCAATATATGCACTACATGAAACATTAGCTTTACATGAAACATTTAGTAAACAGCATTAGCTTTGTAATATACATGTGTAATAGTTCATTCTCATATATCTATTTTCAAGTGATTACTTCAGCATGCTTGTTATAGTATTGCATTTAGAGAGCCCAGAAAATGACAGGTCTGTTTTGAACCAAAAGAACAAATAACACATGCTCTGCCCCCATCAACTTGACAAATAAACAATCGAAACAGAATGCTTTTCCTCATAGATGACTTCACGTCTTCGACTGCACTTTAGTTATCCTTTTGTATACAGGCAGGTTCCAGCAAACATATCGTTGGACCTGTGAACAAAGTTAGAATTACTAGGAGAGTTTAAACAGGCTGATAAGCACTGCCTCTAAATGGACCATCTGCTGTGTCGGTAAAGTAACGTTCTTTCTATTCAAAATAACAAGATTAATACAAATGAAATATTGCTGCTGCTTTATTTGTATTTCTTACATCAGTTAAATATACTCATGTCCATAAATTAAGGATAATGCAAAATCAGGCAAAGGAAGAGTTAGAAGCAAAACAAATTTGACTTATTTGTAAAGCTTATTTATTAAAAAAAAAAAAAAAGGTAAGGAGCAAAAAGAGATGCTATATGTTTGATATTATTAAAAAATAGCGATTTTTTCTCCTTGGAGCAAATTACAAAAAAACCTATTTACAAAAAACCAGTATTACATGGTTGTTATGATTGTTAATACATTGTATGTCTCCCAGACGATGCAATACAGTCCGTACAGCGCCTAGGTATGCTGAGTATCAAATTATCGATCTGATCTTGGGGAATATTACACTACTCAAAAAGCAATGCTCTCCGAAGTTCCGGTAGACATGTAGGAGGAGGTTGACGGGCTGTAACTCGTCGGCCAAACATGTCCCACACGTGCTTTACTGGATTCAAGTCCTGTGAGAATACTGGCTGGTCCATACGGGTGATATCCTCCGATTGAAGGCATTCGCTTACGATGTTTGCACGTTGAGGACGGGCGTTGTCATCCATAAACACAAATTGTGCGCCCATGGCGCCCCGAAACAAACGTACATGTTGTTCCAGAATGACGTCCCGATAGATTTGACTTGTCATGGTTCCCATATGAACATGCAGGTCAGTTCTGGAACCCAGAATAATTCCACCACAAACGAGCACTTCTGCACCACCGTAACGGTGTGGTTCAATAATGTTTTCTTGGTGGTAACGGGTACCTGGAGCTCTCCATATGAAAGTCCGGCGAGAATCAGACTGCAAGCTAAACCTGGAGTCGTCGGAAAACATCACACAAGCCCACTGTTGCGGTGTCCACAATGCATGCTCTCTACTCCAGGCTAACCGCAGGCGACAGTGAGTTGCAGTAAGTGGAACGCATCTGACAGGTCTACGAGCATATAGACCAATCTGTCCTAAGCGTCTGTACACGGTTTGCCTTGAAATTTTCGTAACAGTGGCTGAAGAGAGCTGACGAGACAAGTCTGAGGCTGTGCTCCGCCTGTTTCATTTGGCAGTAACTGCCAAATACCAGTTCTTATTCGGCGTTGTAACTCTGGGGCGACCTGTGCTGTAATGTCTACTCACATTAACATCATCTTGGAATCGTTGCCAAAGCCTAGAGATGACACTCTGGGCAATTCCAAATTCATCTGATACTTCCAGTTAGGTACGCCTACATTCCAGACGGCCGATAATTCTACCACGTAAAAAATCATCCAAATGCGTCCTTTGTTTCATAACTATTCGGTTATTGCACTGAAATGCTTATAAAGCGCCTGCGAACAATTTTACTTCTATGCCTGTATTTCTTATATATCGCTCTCTTACACTCTCGTCATTGTGACGTACCATCGGTGTCATCTGGTTACTTCCTGAAATTTGCATATGATTCTTGAAAATGTGTGTAGTGATTTTACAGGTGATATATTTATTTTTTACAGTTCGATTTCCGCGTGAATCCGAATTATCCTTAATTTATGGACATGAGTGTATTTATCCTTGTTTCAATAGCTTCTGTATTCAATCCTCTGTGTAAAATGTGAAGAAAGATAGTTGTTTCAATGAACTTATAATATTTTTCCACAGTGGAAAAAAAAAGTTAAAGGTTTTAAAATTCTTTCATAAAGCTAATGAATAAGCTACTATTAGTTTAAGTTCATAAATTTGGTTTTTCTTTAAAACAAATACCATAGTAAAGTTTATCTTTACTATTTATTTACAGGCATCTGAGGATATAGAAAATCAATCTGATGAAGCAAATCCCAATACTGAAAAAGAAATACAAAGTTTTCCTTTAAAAACTTTACAGGGACGGAACATCAATCCAGGGCCAAACGTCATGCCCTCAGTTAAAGATATCTGGTGGAATAATTTTTCCCCTACATCTGTGACTCCATATCCCAGTCATCCTTACTATAACAATGATATAGCTTCTCAAGGTTGGATACCCGCTGATGCCGACTTCTACAAATCTCAAAATCGAAATAAAGGAAGCCCATTAAAGACGGATGTAAAGCGAGATCATACATATTATGAAAATACTAGTATGCATGAAAACTACTCTACAACATCGAGAGGAAACAGAAATATGTACTTCGTGGTTATGCCCGGTTACGCTCCACCACATAATCCTAATATGTATCATAGTCCAGGATTTTACAATGGAATTCTTCCTGTTCCAGGAATGCCTCTACCTTGGGTTCCTGACAATAAGAATAATGAAGTCCATAGAAGCGGATTTTATAATGAGGAGTACAGCAGAAACTTTAATGCATTTAGTGGCTAATAGCACCTCCGGTCTTTTCCCAAGTGCATGTAGAGTTACTTCCTACTTATTACGTTGGAAGATATTGATAAGAGAGCTATTTTTTCTTTTTTGAAAATTGTGGTGTCGTGGTTAGTACTAATTTCACAACATTTAACCTCTGCCCTATAAAAATTATGGGATTATGTTACTTTTTTTTGTTTCCATTCTGAATAAACTGTATTTCAGATATTTATTATGCTAAAAATGATAATAATCTGTAATTTGTTTTTAAAATTCAAATAAAAGTATAATTAACTAAAACATATTTGTGCATTACTTTTATGACCTGCTTAAAAATATTCTTAAAGCTATTTTTCCAACAATTATATTTAGTTCTGTTACGATTTCTGTGATCTTCATTTCACATTTTACAAAATTTGTATATTTGTAAATAATTTTGGTGAAATTATGTGTGAAATTTTAATATTATTTTTTGTGTAATGTAATATGTAGTACTTGAAAGAGACAAAGGCTTTGCCGTAAAAATAAGACTATAGGGGCAAGTCTATTAGTCTATAAATCATGTAGAGGTAAAAGTCTATCTCGCTAAATTGGAAAGATATCGCCAAGACTGGCGTTCTCCCTCAGTCTATGGCATGCCTCTACTTTTGTCGCCAAATGGGCGATTTCGTGCCATATCTGGCAACCCTAACCCTTTGCGGGGAATCTATCTCACTGCAGTTGGGCATTTTGTAACAATATTTTGGGTTTCGTGAATCATAAATTAAAATAATGTATAACAAAAACAAACAATTTCAATTTGGGACATATTAATTATTATATGATAAAATATCTTAAGTTTTTATACTGTTAAGTGGCTTTAGTAACCCACAATAATTATCAAATATATATCAATCTTGTTTTCATTGCATTTAACAATCTTTTTTATAATCTCTAAAATTCAATCATTTTGATATTCTCTTAAAACTAAAATCATACAGACGACAAGCGCAGGTAAGATTTGAAAGGTTATAAGAGCATATAATATTAAAATATTACGTTAATGAGTTTAAGGCAAACTATTAATGTGAGAAAAAATATAATGGATGATTCAGAAGGGATGCTTTCTTGAACGACTTCCTAAAAGGAACCAGCTCGCATTGAGGAAACAATGAAGACCGTCCCACCACGTGATCTCAACTTCTAAATAATTAAGTATAAAATATTTATGATTATTTTTCTTGACATTCATCCGCTGATAAATCAGTGAGCTCACTAAAGCGATTAGCTTATTAAAATATAAGTTAGCGCTAAATTACTGAAGGATCATTTTATCATTACAAACAACCCTATTTCAGATAGTTTGGTGGTTGTAACTTTACATCAGGTTGAGGAAATTTAGAGTTCTATCACGGACCCTCAGAATAAAGTTACTTTAGTTTCATATAATTTATTTTGATTAAAAGCTGTCTCTGCGTGGAGTTTTCTCAAATTAAGTAGTAATCAGAAGTCCCTTGCAAAGAGTTTACACATCAAAGACATAAAACATGAATGTATTGTCCTACGTCACTAAATGACTAATTATTTTCTTAGTAATAATTAATCCAGCAATATCAACCAAAATACTGAACTAGGATGTATGTACACAGATAGCCTTCGTGTATGTTGTAACTAAAACAATCCAAATCCAGTAGTATTTATTAACACCGAAACTGCTTACAGAAAAGTTACAGTTTTATTTCAATTTATGTTGCATTCCAAAAATATTGCAAAGTAACTCTCCATAGGATTTAAAATTGTCACCTTTTTAATTAAGAATTACTTACAATCACTATCGTGTCTGGTCTTTGGGCCTGAGAATTTGAGGCGTATCAAGATATAAATATTCACATATCTATAAAAAAAAAAAGTTTTAAAATTCTCTCAAAATTATGATTCCTTCCAGGCAATTGATTTGCGCCCTAATTATTATTTTTCTTTTACTTTCGAAGTTAAAATCCCAGAAAAATAAATGCACATTGGGTACTGGGGCAGAGGATGAAGAAAAAAAAAAGGAAAAGGTGACGATTTACGGAAGCGGTATTCCATTTCACCACCTCTAGTGATTTTCATCATAATCGAATTTTATTTGATCTAATTGTCTTAATCTATTGCAGTCATTTGTGAAATTGCTTATAAAGATTCAACTGATATCTAGTCAATTAAAGTTTTGTTTTACTTCAGTATATGGTACATTACTAAATTTATCCTCACAGCAGTATACACATTAATTACTAATTTTATTTTCATCACATTTAATAAAAGTACTTTAATTAATAAAAGATTTGTTTCTCAACTCAGCATTTTCTCAATATTGAAAAGCGTAAGAAAATTCCAAAATGAAATCAACCAAAAAATATAAGATCTGAAATATCAAATTAACTGTTAGTACGTTTTGCATGAAACTCATATTATAAAATAGATCAGTAAATGTAATCACACACTATAAAGTACAATTAAGTCAATTCGGACTTTTTTTGAAATAGCGCAGTTCGGAACATCCCGAAAATTATTGGTCTTCGCATAAGCATTACCTGGGTTTCATATTTCGAAATTGGAAATTTTGTTATTGCATCTGACTAATACATGAACCTTCCAGCACACGAGCTTGGCAATTTTACATGAGCACGCGCGCGTCGTATTTTTTACGACATCCGTTATTTTACCGTTTTGGGCACGAAAAATGACAGAAATGAGTGAATATTGATAATAAATTTGTTAATAAGAAAAATATTAATCTTATTATTTCAAAATACATTTCATATCACATTCAAATATAAGTAAATTATTTTTAAGTTCTTATGTTAGTAAGATGGAAATGCAATGATGTATTTCATTATAGAAAATTTTAAATTTATTATTTAATAATTATATTTTAAAATCGAAGCTAATTTTAATATTCATCTAAGACAAGTAGTACAGACAATAAAAAAGGAAAACACCTTGGTAGGAAAGAAAGTAAGTTTATCATTTCTTACTTCTGCAAGGAATTTTACTTCTTACTGGTTACAAAAACGCACTTTAAACTAACTTTAAGGTTTTTATTTATTTCTAAGAAATAGAAATAAAATAAAATAATTAATGGAAAGAAAATAAGGAATGGAAATCGCTATTGTTCTCCCATCCAAAGGTTTCCTTGTCTTCCTTTTCTTCATCAGATAATTCTTGAAGAATCCAAGCAAAATCAGCTGGATGCACATATTTTTTTACCATGAAAACCGATATAAAATTTACAGAGCCAAATGTATTAAAATTAAAATAATACACGGAAATTAATAACACAAAATGACAAAATATTTGAGAAAAAATTACTTTCCGAATTTTAAAACACGACCACGCGCGTGTCGTAATTTTTATGAAAAAGCTGCCACGTAGCACAAAAGCCCAGTTAAAAAAAATTCCATTCCTGTTGGCACATTAGATGATGTGGGGAAGGGTAGAAAGGAGGAATAGAAATGACCTTCAGACGTCTCAGCTTCGATATGCGAAAAATGTGCATTTAAAACTGAATTTGTCGTAAATTTTGCGCACATGCGCGCGCTGGAAGGTTAAGCAAAAATTTTAACCTTTTTATATATGTGTAATTTATAGCGGTTGGTTCACTGAAAATATATTTGAATTAGTTTATTGAAACGATTTTATTTCGATTTTATCCAAAAAATGTTACAAAAATTGCCAATTCATAAACATACTGATATGCAGGTATACATAAGTACAATCTTGGAATTCAAACCGTTTCTTATCAAAACAAAATTTCTGCGAATGAAGTATTTCCTTATATGTGCACTTTCTCATCACAAGAAAAAAGTAGCAACACATCATTTGATTTTAACTGAAATGACGCAGTAGTTGAAACCGCGAAAATGGCTTTTGTGTACTTTTTCGAAAGTTCCATGGCTACCAAAGAATTAAAGCTTTTTTACTATTTCATTCCACTAAGTTTTAATCCGCCATTTTCTACTAAGGCAGAAACAGCCACATCAACGCTTCTATGGAAAACAAATTAAAATTCAACCAGTTCTCATACCTTTTTCATAATCCCCTTACCCGCTCAAATAATTACTTTTAATACCTATTAGCACTAGTATATTAAACGTATTCTCCGGTTTTCGTAATGAAATGTTTGCTCTTTTTTGCCCATAACGGTTTTTGTAACTGCCGTAATAAGAAAAGCAACTGCGTTAGAATTATCGCAAAAAACTAATTCGCTTACCCAGCAGCTATTAAAATAAAAACGAAATCCGGAAAAGAAGGAATATATTTTTCTCTCTTATAATGGAGAGAATAAATATAATTTAACGCCGGGGGAACATAATTAACATTGCTGTTTCCAGTGAGATATTGTTGGTCTCTATAATGAAAGGAAATGATATGATAAATATAGCTTGTTTTTTAAATTAATATTTTCATTAAATGATTTCATCAAGATATTAAAATGAAGCCCAGAAGTGTTCAGACACTTTTTGAAAGTTAAATTGAGTTTTCCGCTTTATAAAGCGAGGGCTGCAGCCAAACTATAACATCCTAACCAGAGCACCACGTAGTAAAGAAGCCACAAACTGGTCCAAAAGGTTGCAGACCGGTCTGGTCCGTTTCCAGATGTCTTTATCACGTAACGTCAACACAAATCTTCTGCCGTCGTTTTTCTGCAATATGCGTACATAGTAGAAACGTCGCAAAGCGACGGCTTTTAGATGCAGACATTCTTACTGCATTCTTTCTACATATTAAAATATACTAGTTGAGAAGTTAGTACAAAACTACTAGTTGAGAAAGAGTATTCTTACTGCATTCATTATACATATTACAAAACTACTAGTTGAGAAGATTACAAAACTACTTATTGAGAAGTTAGTATTAATGTTTTATTTTTTTACTTAATGCTAATTAGTTAAAATAAATCTCTCAAAATGCATTCATATTATAAATATAAAAAAATATATAGGTAATTTGACATTTTTATGTGAACTCTGTGTATTTATTAATAACTGCATTATGTAAAGGACTACTCTAAATCAAATGCTAATAATTTAATTTTTGACAACTATCATAGATATTTCGTAAAATGCAAATTTTAATCTTGTGTTATAGGTAATTAGGTTTGTAGACTTATCGCTGCTGTAAAAAACTACTCCATTTTGCTTAACTATTAATTCGTTCCATTAAATCTGCGCTCACCGTGAAGTATTTTGTGACCGTTTAAAAAATAAATAAATAAATAAATT